AGACTTATTTTAGAGATTTGGTTAGATATTCCTGAGCGACGCCGTATGGCACCTCATAAACGATAAATAGCGGTTTAATACCAATTGATGAGGGACACCCATTCTGATAGTTCGAGTGTTAAATGATGTTTTAGAAGACAATAGGAGTTTTATCTACTCAATCGCCTTGTTTCTCGGATGGAGAAACCAGCGGCAGGGAGCAAGGTGGATTCGACACTTAATGGTGAACCCTGAGCAGACTGCAGCATCAATTTTAATCCAGACACTTGACCGCTCTTTGATTGATACGATATATGAAGTAGTCATTCTTCTTAGTTTTTGCCTCATTATGCCCGAGAAGAGTATTTTTTTTACCACCTCTTTCTCGTTGCTTGAAGCAGGCATAAAAGAAGCTTTCGCATAGGCAAACACACGTGTTTCACTCATATTTGCTCCAATGGGAAATATGGTCGTTTTTGCCACACATCTTATTACTGTAAGCGGTTTTTTTCACATTATTTGGCAGGTGATAGATTAGGGAGTACGAATCTGTTTATATAAAAAGGATAAACAATCAAGCCCCTTGTCTTTTCTGTCCTCCTTGCGATCGACTGAGGATTCCCTGGACTGCTGCAACCATGTTTTCTCTTTGTCGAGGGTTCATGTCTGTGGCCGAGCTGAGTGTGAGTCGCACAGAATCGACGGGCGAGAGTGTCGAAGAATCCATACCGGCGAGTTTCTTCGCCTCAGCCGGTAGGAAATTGGTATAGTCACCAGGTGCTCCACCAACCGCGTTGTGGCCAGTAGACATACTGGGAGAACTAGACTCCCAGGTAGCACTACTGTCATTAAGCCTGAACTGTGTACGACCTTCTGCATACAGGTCATAACCCGTCTTGATCGTTTTGAAGAGTGCCGGGTCATCGGGGTTTTCCGCAGTGACGGGGTTTCTCCAAACCTCCAAACGACGAAGCATACGCATATCATCCGCATCCACATCCCAAAATTCTTCCTTCTCCAAGTCTACATTAGTGTCTAAAGCCAGTCC